GGTCAGAAAGAGTGGAGTTAAGCCTCTTTCACTTCATTAGCTCCGTGAAGGATTCAGAGTTCTATTTAGTTTGACTGATCATTTATTTGGGATTTGATGGATTAGTCGATGGCCATATCAAGCGAGAGGCAATAACGTTCGCTCGTAGCTGCGTTTACCACTAACGATCCAATTTTTTCCCTCAAGGCATTAAGGAATATTCTATTCTGTTGAACTAATTGAATTCGTCGGAACAAGAACCCTGGAAAAGTGGTGATATCAATCGCCAGCTTTTGTGTCTCACAAATAACGCACATAATCTCAAATAAAATCGATAAATGATGACTGGAGACTCATTATAGTCTCATAAATTAAAATAAATGAATTCCCGATGAACAAATAACGAAAGAAGATGTATCCGACTGGATTGTCCCGTAAAATCGATAATAGAGTTAAAAAAAAAATGAATCTTGAATGGAAAAACGTAGACTTTAGGAGTGACGAAGCCCCAGGTGTCAAGGGAACCCAAGACCTATGTGGTAACTAGAAATTCCATCGTCGACACGTGCATTAGGCAACGTAGAATGCACACCACCGGAACATCCGGAATTCACCTGTGTTGGTGTAAAATAGGTGTACGTGTAACGTTTGAGGGTAGAATTTGAGGCGGTGGCGGTACCCAAGTATTCACCGAGATACGCATATTCACATGTGCAATGTGTGCACAAATCCGAGATACAACGCTACTTGTATAGTTGTATATCGAAACGATCGTATACTGTCCGTCGGTCCGACGTAACTGCACTTGGGTCACTGGAGGCACTGTTAGAATCGTAATTGCCAGTACCTAGGTACAGAACAACCCTGCCTCAATACCCAACTACATTTTGGCTCAAGGTACAACCCCCAACCTTTCACGACTATAGACAAGCGTTGTCTTACAGGACTATTGTCGATATATTCCAAATTCCATTATCAGTGATACAAAGTTTCGAACGTACGATACAACCATCAGAGAATTTACAAAGTTATTGTATTGCACAACTCGAGCGTAACTATTCCTTTATCGAAATCGTTTACCCGAATAAATTTGAAACAGTGATTTTTCATGTTCACCACTGAAGTGTACAAAATTGTCACGTTATTTCACTCGAGAAAGGGAAATGAGAATTTGTGGGTGAAATTCAACGGTTCGTAAAGTATTCTGTCATTGATCTTGAAGATGGTGAATGGAAGTGAAATGTACGAAAGTTACGGTGATCTCGACCTGATGTACTATTCACGATGGACTTAGGACAAGTTTGCTATCAATCCGACAGTTCCTCAGCTGCTCAAACTGTCTGATGCCGGGGTACATCAATTGTCCCTCAACTTTCCATGATTTCCGGGGATTTTGGTTAAATCGGTGTTCAACATAATCCAAACAAGGGAGTAACTGCATCTGAATTACTCCACCTGAAATAATTACTACTCAATAGAACATGCAACAAAATTCGGATATTCATTTCAACATCGAAATCTCTAGAGATTAATATCAAAATTCACCGGATGAATCATCAACTGGCAAACTATTGAATCTTAAAACCTCGATTATTCAACCTAACATCTCGTAAACAAGATATAATCTAGCGAGTGATCAAACGGCTACCAATTATCATCATCAAAATGCAATGAAGTCTGTCTGAAATAGCCTGAAATTGTCGTTAACTGGAGGCGAAGTAAACTCCAACAGGCGAACGAGATTCCCTGACGGATTAATAGGTATAATGCCATAAGATGAGTGCATCCGGATATTGTCAGAGAGTGGAGGGACTGGCGTTGTAATACCCCAGGTTGGGATTAATACCAGTTCTCCAAGCAGCAAAGTGGATGCAAGTCAATCAATTCCACCATTGATGCATCCCAGAACGGATATTCTCCACCACCAATACCCAACGATTTCAATCCACTGGGGCTGTCTCTGCATGGATCATATCTGTAGTTAACATCTTGGAGGCACCTCGTGAACATTTCACGGATGTTCTGTATGGATTCGTCCTGCACTCCATTGTTATTAAAAAGGGGGTGGTACCAGGTGGATTGGTGTATATGGTCCATTCTGATGGAACCGCAACGAGCGACAGCAACACATGTAGCTAACACCTAAAGCCAACGATGCCTGCATCTGTTGGATACCTCCTATACCAGAGATGAGGCTCTTTTGATAGCCCTGTCCAACTCCCTGTCGTACCTAGGGAGGTACTAGACTAAACAAGCTCAACAGAACAAACATTACGTGGATACACATTCATTACTGAGTTTAGGTGGAGGTGGAGATTTTTCAGGATGAGATTTTTCACACCATCCACCACTTCAATAATTAATCTTAAAATAAATAGAAAATTTATTATGCATTCTTTTTTCATTGGGAAAAATATTCATTATTATATTGTTATAATAGTCTTGATGGGGTGGGGGTTAATTGTATTTCGCTATTTTATTTATCAATTGTAATGCAGGGAATTTATTCAATTGAAATTAGTTTTTTGAAATTAATTTTTTTTCTTTTAAGTCTGGAATTCAGGTTTTGGAAATTATTGGTGTTTTTCAATTTTGGAGTCGGGAAATTTCTTCGAGTAATGAGCTTCTTCTTACTGTCAATTATTTTCGCTGTGACTACATCAGATATGATACTTCTAATCCTAACGAGGTTGTACGCCCTGACTTGTACAAAGTCCTCAGGAAGTTGCGGAGTGAGACACAAGTTTTCCCGGGTGCTGCAATTAAAATTACCTTCTCCCGGACTTCTCTACTGAGAAATTACGGCAGGTGGGCGAATGGTTTCTTACCGGGAAAGTTACTTGGGGTAATCAGAAAAAAGGATTTTCGTGTTGTACAATTATGTCGACTATTTGGGGAACTCCGTGAGCCTAAATATCCGGCAATAAATAATATTTCATTAAAAATATATGAAATTATATATAAAATTCACATGTCGAGGGAAAAATTGTTGAAAATTGAAGTTGGGGTGGGGTGGGCTCATTATTTAGAAAATAAAATCCTGGAATTGACAATGGAAAATTTTTATTAACAATTTTTTAAAGTCTCAAATAAATTCTGCGAATTCGGGAGAATTATTGAGGTAAAAATTACCTATTGTGGTAATTTTACGGATGAATTTTTTATTCTCAATTGTGAAACTCTTGGGAATCCCAGTGAACCTGGGGTAGGATGCAAATTGGAAAGAATTCATCTACATAGAATAATTTGTACTTTAACGTAATATTTCACTCATCCCTCGTTCCCGTTGAAAGATCTGTCACTTTCCCCTTCAGTCACCACCCCTCAATCTGGTAACGCAATCCTCAAGATTCATGAGTTTCAATGGCCCTCCCCCACCCGCGAACAAATCCCGGTAATTTGAAAAAAAAAAAAATCCACAAAGTTTTTCCGGATATTTCCCCGATTTACATATCCGTTTAAAAAAAATATTCAAATGTCCCGCTGAATTGTTAATTGTTTTTATTGAATTCCCGAAGAATCGAGAATAATATTTTCTTAATTAAATTAAGATTTAAAAAACAAATCGATCGAAATTGACTCGAGAATATTTATTTAGTTGAAATATTTTTTTCAAGTGCAATTACTCCTCTTTTTTCTTCTCCATTAAATGTTTAAGAATAATTCTCTAATTGCTGTCCATAAATTTATTTTAACTGATATTTCATCATGCAGTTCTGGTTGAGAAAATTTATATCAAGACATAAACATTGTCCATTAAACCCGTCATAATTATGTTATTAAATTTGTAACATCTCCCGGAGTTCAGATCGTTAAAAAAATCCTGCGTAAACATTAAAACTCCCGTCAATAATTTCCCGAGCCTTGAGTCCCCTGAAAAATTCTAGCCTGCCCCAAAAATATTCATTCCGATGAAAAAAAATACTGCACATTGTCAATAAAAAAATAAAAATTGAAGTAAATAATTAAATATTGCCGCAGAGTGTGCAAGGAGAAAAAAAAATGGGAAAGAAGTGGAAAGACGATAATCCGGCAACTTGTGCAAAAATTCCCAGGTGGTTGGTCCAACCTCCCAGACGTATCCCCCATCATCCACTGGTAGACCGACGAATCACGCGACCGTCCAAGCAACTGAAAATAGTCGGTCGCGTGGCCGAAAGTTATTACGAAACATATGTGCATCAGCGATACATAATATACACGAAAATGCGGTAAGAGCTGATCGTAGATGTGCAGCAAGGGGGTGGTATCCCCCATAAAAATAGGTAACAAGGATGCAGAGGAGTGGTATAGAAGTGGCAAGGATGGCAGGGGATGGTAAAAGGGGTGAAAGAGTACGAACGGTGGATTGGTGAGGGGAATTGAAATGGGTGGAAAGGAAAGTCCAGCTACATCTTTCGTGTCCGTGCGTTGTAACGAAACTTGTTACGGACCGGTGGAGAGATTTGTGAACCCTAGACCCGTTGTAAGAGGGAGATATACTTTATTCCCGAACCTATAAAACCAAGAGAGAGGGTTTTCCGAGTGAAATAGGCGGGAGTTACGTTGTGCCCTGATGCCCGGGCCACCTGGGGGGTGGCGCACGCGCTTTATCAACACCACTGCGAGGTTATGTGCACCGATAGGTTTTCATGTAGTTGTGGGTGAGGGTGGTTTGAAGCGGTTGCTGCTGCTGTGGCCCTGCGTCGGCGAGTCCGGCTTCTGGCTCGAAGTGCCAGAGCGAGATAAATATAGAGGTTGGTAGGGGGTGGGAGGGGGAGGGTGTGTTGAAGGGAGAGGGTGAGCTGGAGAAAATTCGGTGGTGGGAAACGCGCGGACGCGAGGATTCCCGGATAGGCTGTGGGAGAATGGGGTGATGTGGGGGGTGAACCGAGGAGTGAGAGAGATGGAATGGAATGAAAGTGTGAGGGTGAACGCAACGGGGAGGGGAAAATGGTGGATCGGTAGGGGATGAGGGGGTAGTGTGCCGTACGGGTATCCTCCTGTACTCCGAGGGTTTCCAGGCAGCGGCAGTCCACGGCCCGGGACAGGACCCAAGCCGTTAAGCGTGTACCGAGTTTACATCGAGTTTCATTTTCCGTCGATTATTATTATTTATTTATTTGTTTTTTTAAATCATTAATTGGATATCTCAGTGGTATTGGAATTTTTTTGAGTTCACGTGGGGGTGGTGATTTCGCGTGGTGTGATTTTTGTGGATGGGGGATTTTTTTTTTCAATTTCCAAGGGGTTGTGATTATGGGGGGAGTTTGAATGGTGAGAGCGCGGGAAAGTGAGAGAGAGTGACAGATTTACTGGTGATTGTGAACTGGAACTTTTGGATTTTTTTTTTTTGGCTTTTGGTGGGAATTTTTTTTTTTTCTTTCGCGGGGTGGAACGTGGGGTGATTGACGTGTGGGGGGAATTTATGGTGAGGATAAATTGGAGGTGAAGTGAAAAGTAATAGGAACATGAGAGACTTTGCGGTGTCTGACTGCGGGCGCACGTGCGCCCCACGAGGAAGTTACTACGAGTCGACGAGGTGTTACTGCAACGAGAGACGTTAAGGAGAGCCCCAGGGCTGGGATAATACCCAGGGGAGGTGGGAGGTGGCGTTTTTAGTGGATGTTTTGTCCCTCTTCAATCCTTTTTCTTCGTCGGGTTTGGGGTTTGTCGTGGTGCTTTATCTCGCTGACGGATTCGTTTTTCCACGGTTAATTTACGAGGTTTTTTTTTTGGAGGGTCTTTTGGGGCACCTGTCCAGCACCTGGGGATTACCGGGACGAAAGAAGGAAAATACGGCACTACTGGTTTTAATGCACGGGGGAGGATGAGAGGCCGTCGACGGAGTGGACTGTCGTTGGTCAACGCAACCGTCAGCCCGACGATTCGACCCTTGATCGTACTCACGTTGGGACTCGTCGGACATGTCATCGGTTATGGATATTCCAGGGCGTACAGCAGTCAAGGTTTGTATCATATTTTAATTCACAGAATTAACGACGGAAAATCAGTTATCATTACTTTATTATATTACTATCACGTGCAGTTGGTTGTATCGATTGATATAAAAAATTGGTGTTTAAAAAATAGGAGATATTTTGTGGAAGAAAATTTAATTAGGTTTTCATTGAAATTATTGGTTTGTAAATTAATCTAATTTAGAAAAATGGGAAATTCGAATTAATGAGATTATGTGAGGTGGAAATTTATGAATATCAAAATATTTTATTTCAAAGGATTAATTCGGAGTCGTGGGGAATTTTTCTTGAGTAATTCTCACTGAAATCCCGACGGGTGATGAACAGAAAATCAATCCCTTCTTCAAGATAATTTTGGAATCTTCAACTGATCCCAACAGGTGTGGATATATCTAATTACATAATGAAGAATTGAGGTGGAAAATGATTCTCGGTGGTTTGACAGTGAGTTGAGAATTATAATTGTCTCATTTCCATTCTCCACATTTCCACGGGATTAGCCCCAATATCATTTATGATTGTCACTCATCTGAATTGCATGAGGAAATCTGTTGAAGGCAAGCGAAATTAATTAGTCATTAGTTCCCCAGTCATTTCGCTAATTTTATCTTTGAATCTTCCTCATGCTCTACGGATTCGAGAGTCCATGCGATGAAAAATAATAATTAACGTGCGACTGTAATTGTTATTTCTCAATTTCTTTAATAAATTCAAGTGCACATTCGACAATTAGGCATTCTCCATGATTGCCTTGAGCCGAGGGGTAATTAACAAAGGAATTTCAATGGACAAGTGGTATTTAATAAAATATTCCAATTGCAATGGCGAAAATTAATTTTTTCTATTACGAAAAAAATAAAAAATAGAAGTTGGAGGTCTGACGCGTACAATATTTCCATTTGGAAAGGAAAAAAAATATGAGGAAATCAATTCGTCGGGGAAAAAATAATTCCATTTCACTCGATATGCACAACGAGGCATTCTATTACGCGGTGTTTTCCCGGTGGAAAAATACACCGTAAAAATTGAATTCCCCTGTTCAAATTAATGTGAAACAGCATCAAATGGAATGGCCGTGTCGATTGCAAATGAGTCATTTGTTCGCGCAGAAAAGTGATTCGTTCGGTCGACAAACATTACCCCGTGAAACATGAATTGCCGTCAGATATAAATCCCTCACGTCACAATATTGAGATACGGTGATAAAGTTGTTTGTAATTGTGACAAATAATTAATTACATTTACAAAGGATTCGACTCAGCGATTGATTATCCCAAACGTTTTACCGTGGTAATGAAAACAATTTGGTGGTCATGAATTTTTTAATCGCCAGTTGATGAATCGCGATTGACTATTTCCGTCCGTGAAATGGAATAAATGACTAAATCACGTAGGATCTGTCATTGAAAATTAATCGTCAGTACAAGTGAGGGAATGATAGGATATGCTTTACCGGACATTTAATATTTCCGTAAAAATCTAGATTAATTAACATAAATAACGTATGAATTAATGTTTACCATTTGATTCCACGAGCGTTGGAAAACTTTGAAAAATCGTAGAAAGGGAATTGAATGGAGATGTAAATGAAAGATGTGAGAATTTCGCTAATGAATCATTAACTATTCATTAACTATTCTGCATTCGCACGAATGTAATTTAATGAATCTGTTGATAATGATGCAAATCTTAATGATGGAATCCATCGGATGAGCGTACTCTAATTATAAATTTTTTGTAATGAATATCTGGATTATTCGAGAACGAAATTGGATAAATTAATTGGCACGGATTAATGATTGGGTGGGTGTGAGGAAATGACAGCTTCACATTTATTTTATAAAGGGAGAGACGAGAAAATAGAAAAGGGGCTCGAGAGGATTTTCCCCTCATTTTCCTTTATTCTGTCTCTTATCGAAGATTTTTCCATCGCCCTCGGTTGTTCCCGGGATTACACGGTACACTGAGTCAACGAATTTCAAATTACACCCAATGATGCAAGTGTTTCACGTTCTACTACCCCCAATCGATCCAACAATTAATTACAATTCGTCGTTTTTATTGTTAATTACGTGAGTGCAATTACTGTCCGCTTTATGAATTACCCGGGGTATTTTTTTATTAACCCATTATTCGGTTTTTCATTGCAATCAATAATTCTCAGAACGGTAAATTTCTCTGCTGAAGTAAATGCTAATGAAAATTAATGAACTAGAAGAAAGAAAGAAAAGGGGAATTCCCATGGAACTCTCGAGGAATTCGAAGAAATTCCATTTTCCCACAGACTTGAGTCAAAGATCTGGAAAATCGACAAAGAATTTTTCAACACTCAATCAAACTTAATTAACCAGATTCAATCGATCCACTCAATTAACTTCTGATTGAAATGTTTTTCGATATCAAACATTCTGTTGAAGTCACAAACTATTTCGGAATAACAATAGATAATTATTTCCCGAATTCCATTGGATTCAACAAATAATGGAAAACATTCCCTACTAATAGCGAATCCTTGTAATTTCCGTTAATTCCATCCCATCGATACAAATTCCGTCATTGAACCATAATGACAAAACGGATATTGGGGAATAAATATAATCAATGCTCGGTACGGTAGTGTGAATAATTTTCACCGGCATATTTAATTGGATGTATTGAATTGAATTACATCTTGCGCGTATCATCGAATCTGTTACAATCGATAGCACTCAGTGTCATTCGAATGATCGGAGATTTTCCAGTGAATCCTCGGTGATTGCGTCATCAGACCTCATCACGAGTAATATTCATCGGGTGGGATAGGGATTTTCCAAGTACTGTAGGGTCAACCGACGGATTATTCCATTCGAATGGGCAAATTTACCTGCGGCGAAGACCGAAACGCTTGATAAGCCATTATCTCTGTGAAAAATAAACCGCCATATTTTTTGTTATCATTTTTCACCGACTGAAAATATACTCATGCGTTAATCAATGGATATGCAATTATCGGGGAATAACTGGGTTAATGAATTGCCGTTTTATAACTTTTGATGTTGAAACGGAAGAACTTGGGGGAAAATATACGGGAAAGTTTATTTAATTAACGGTTGGCATATTATGGATATATCGGATGAGCTCGGAGTCATTATCGGTTTCCAGATGAGGAGTTAAAGAATTTTTATCAATATCTTGATAATATCTGAATTAAAAATTCGTTGCTGTTATCGGGAAAAAAATTTTTTTCAGTTGATGATTACGGAGAGCATCTGGAGAGTGACATGTCAGGGAAATGAATGAATAAATTGCGCGGAAGGTATCAGATATCAAAAGATAAAAAAAATGGAATAAATTCTGAGTGAAATCATGGCGAAATTAATCAGCGGTCAGTCATATATCCGGGTGGAACCGGCGAGTCATAATCCGCTCAACTTTTTCTCTCCACCATTATTCTCTCTCTCTCACGCATGTCGACCATTAACTCCACAGATGGAGGATTATATTATTTAATTAGTGGGTAGGTTGAGCTTTTATTGCAGTCGGAAACTAACCGTTCGGTTTTTTTTTTCCTGAAGCATATCCCAGATAATGGCCACCGTAATAAGTGAAACCACATGCCCGAACCGACAAAGTGAAGACTAACGTCTGGATTTCCAATAAAAAAAATCCCTCGACTACTCGATTCTACCGACTCGATTTTTCGCGGTTAAATTAGCGTGAATAATATCTCACGATTTAACCAGGAGAATTTTTCAATTTCGTCGCGATAATTAAAACTCCGACAATCCTGCAATACTGTCCCACGGAAAAATTAACATATTTGCATACCCAAGGTGATTTTATTTTTAACAATCAAATATTTTCATCCGACACTCAATTTGCATATTTATTATCAACTCTATTATATCGGTTTTCATCATTTGCATGATAAAATTCAGTTATTCTGTTTTATCATAACAACTGGAGAAAAATTCGTACCAATGAATTGAGAGAAATTCCATCGAAAATTTTCGGTTCACATTGATACGACATTTTTTCGTTTATCAATTCAACAATGCAATTTGATAAACAAAATGGTACTGCATTGTTTTTACCGCTGATTGCAGCACCATGAATTTTTTTATGATCTCAATTGTGTAAATAACTCCCCAATTTGACAATTGAAAATGGAATTTATTGTTAAATCTTCGCCGCACTATTATTCCATCAACCGCTGATAAAAAAACCCTAAAATTTTCCAATTTTTACGGGACGGGGAAAAAGGGGAGGGGTGGGTGAGTGGAATGAGATGACAATGAAAGGGGAGAGGGAAGGGGAAGGGCGAGTAAAAAAATTGTTAACCGAAGAAACAGAAAAGGAGATATTTTTTTTTTTCCAGTGTGGGAAGTATAATGGGTTAAATTCGTTTCCTGGGAATCCCCATTTCGTTAGAGACCTCCACCAGGGGAGCCCTCCACTAATGGAAAGGTGGCACTGGATACTAAAAGTCCCGTTGGGCTTCAAACCCTTTTCCTCGGACCATCTCGTTTCGATTCCTCTCGTTTTCCTCTGTTACATTTCAACGTTTGCCACCTCTATACTATTATCCTCCATCCCATTCTCATTTTACCACGTACCTCACTATCCCCAGGTCCTCATTTCGATTTCAGGGTTGTATAATTTTTACGTTACGAAATAAAGAGCGAACACCCAGAAGCCCGAGAAATAGAGAGAAAGAAAGAAAAAAAAAACGAGTGGATGAAAAATTCATTATGCATTTGTCCATTTTCTCTTATTTTCTTTTCAGTGGATCGGAGGATAATTAGAGAGGATTGTCGTCGTAAATTGCGCTGTGGCGATTTCTCTTGTTTAAATTATTTTAATTAATTGGAATAATTGCGGGTTCGTTTGTTGGTGGGAAAAATTTTCAGTTGTGGATTTGTTGTGAATTAACAATTTCTCTATTTCATTATTTTTTTCTCTCGCTTTTCTCTCGTTCTTTTACTTCACACGTGAAATATTTTTTCCTA